GGTAATAAAAGCAGTAAAGTGTTCAGCAGCTAACCAAAAGGTTGGTGGGGTTCCACTCCACTTGTTGATGCTCTGGAGCCAATGAGGCTCGTTTCGAGCCACTGATCGACCCTGACACTCAGGAGAGCCTTGAGTAGGAGCTGATTTGATGCCAACTGGTTGATTTTGGCAAAATCCCAACCATACACAATTTCTACCCACAATTCAGGGCCAGCAGCATAGCAGGCAGCTGTAGAGCTAACGCAAGGGGAAATGTTGATGGCTTCATTTCCTGTGACTTATCACACATGTGCTGTCTCCAGGTTGGTGAGGGTCAAAGCAGTTTACAACAGCGTACTGTAATGGAAGCTGGAATGCTGGGACAACTGGAAGACAAACACGAGGAAGGGTGAAGTCCTGAGACAGCTCTGAGACTGAGCGCTTAGATGCCACACACAGAGGAGATGGGCTGTGAGGGCCATTCCACCTCACATCTTAGGGTATCTGTCAGAGTTCTGGGGCTGAAGGCAGATAGAGACAGAACTGTCTCTTTAGTAAGGATTAAGAAAGAATAAAAGTCACTGGTATATGTGCTGATCAAGTCAGTAAGACAGACTTACCGATAATATCCCCAATTTTAAAAGAAACCCGGCACATGACACAGGAAGTAAAGGATTCAGGGTTTAATGAAATAAAAGAAAAAGTTTAAAGAAGCAAGAAAAAACCCTGAAACAGCGTTCTAAAGCCATAAATGTTGACTAGGGATGACAGAAGGAGAACTGACGCCTTTGAGCTGTGGCGCTGGAGAAGTGTGTTGGATATACCATGGACTGCTAGGAGAACAAACAGATTCGCCCTGGAGAGGGTAAAACCAGGCTGCTCCTTGGAGGCAAGTATTCTGAAGCTTTGTCTGACATACTTTGGACATGTTGCAAGGTGGGATCAGTCCTTGCAGTGGGACATAATGCTTGGGAGGGTGGAGGGACAGCACAGGAGAGAAAGACCATCGATGAGATGGATTGATTCAGTGACTGGGGCAATGGGGGAAGGTGTGTCGGAAACAGTGAGATTGGCATGGGATAAAGCAAAGTTTAGGGCTATTGAACATGGCATCACTATGAGTCACGGGCGACTTGATGGCACATAACAACAACAACAACAACAACAACAACAGAATAAAAAAGCACCAGGAAGGAATGAACTGGTTTCAGAAGACACTGCTAAGAACTTTATAGTATATGGGATGCACAGCAGTGCAGTCCATTTACTCAGCTCACCATTCAAATACAGACAGCAAGAGAAAAGGGGAAGAGAGGAACAGAGTGACTTCTTAATTACCAGAAGTCAGAAGAAGAAAAATGAGAACTAAAAACTAATTCCAAATCTAAAAGGGAAATAAGGACCCACAGAAAGCCTGCCAAGAAGACACCCTGAAACTATCCTTAAGCATGGACAGCATCAAAGCTGTAGAAACACCAGTTATGTGTACTGAGTCTATCTAGCTGTCCGATGGTCTACTTCCCAGATCAGCCGATGACTACCGTCACGTTCCAATGCAAAGCTGCCTAACCCAGCTCCACCCGGTGACAGGACAGAACTCAGCACTGAGGGTCTACTGAGTGTGTGGTTGGTTACCAGGAGTCAGGCTAACAGCGTAGCTAATACCAACATCTTCTGAGCTCTACTATAGGCATGTCTTCATCTAAACCCAAGAATCTATACAGCGGGGTCCTTTAAAAATAAACACACACAAACTTCTTCTTTTACAAATGAAGAATCAGAAGCACCAAGTGGCTAAGTAGTTTTCTCAAAGTCACAGGGCTTCAGAGGGAAGCTGACACAGAAGCTGGTGGACAGCAGGTGTAAGGCTTTCAGTCAGCATTTCCTACTGAAGTGAGCATATTGGTGAAATTTTCCAGACCTGTCCCATGGCACCTGTAGTGACAGTATGATAATGTAGAATTTGCTAGAAGGCAAAAGGCTCAAGGTTATATTCAAAGTTAAAACTTTGAAATAGAGGCTTTCAACCATGTATCATGGTGAATGATCATCACCTTTTCCAGGCCCAGTCCCGTGCATCCTCTCCTCCCCTTCTAACTGAAACCCATAAAACACAGCCCTATCGACACTCCTGGGGTCACCATGAGTAGAAACAGGCTCAAACCTACTGGTCAGGTCTTTTCCCTCTAGTCTATTCTCCTTCACCTTCCCAGATCCAGTGTAAGAAGTGGAGAAAGGGCTGAAGCAGAAATATAAAATCCTCTACTAGTATCTCCACAGTCCACTCTAACAGGAACACTCTTGGGCGGGGCGGGGTGTGTGTGTGTGTGTGTGTACAAAATTAGCTCAGCTTGTCAATCAGGAGCACAGCTGGACATTCACTAAATTCTATCAAATGGAAAAGGGTGGCGAGTACCTCTGAAAATGAAACAGAATACGGAAGGTGCTTTTAATTGACTTCCCACTGGAGTGACAGCTCACTCAGGGCCCTGAGCTTTACTCCTCTAAAGAGGGAAATAAAGAAATGGTCATTAGACCCACAAGTCAGAAAAACACCAAGTAAATGCTACACTTGCCTACAGTCTGCTGGTAAGAAGATTGCACACACCACTCTGTGTTTTTAATTCCTAAGCATTACTTTAATCACCATTACCTCTAAGGTTCCTGGGATGGACAAGGGATAACTTCAAGATAAAAACAAATCAAAAGAACAACCACATGCACACACACAAAAAAATCCAAAACAAATACACCAACAGAGAATTGAATAATCTGAGGAATCAAAAGTAGTGGTCTAGGAGTGTGGCGTATTCAAAACCAAAACCAGACTGGCTGCTAGATTAAATTCTGACTCACAGAGACCTTGCAGGACAGAACAGATCTGCCTATACGGTTTTAACACTGGAAATCTATCCAGAAGCAGCTGCCACATCTTTGTCCTGCAGAACAGCTGGTGGGCTAGAATCACCAAGCTTTCGTAATGAGTCTGAGCGCTTAACCATCATGCTAGCACAGTCCTGAGAGGCAGTGAGTAGAGGTAAAGCCTGCTGAACTCAGGGCCAGGAGTCCATTGTGAGGCTGGTTTAGCATCCAGCCCTAAAAGAGGCCTCTCCTGGTTACCTGTATATTAGCAAAGAGACGGCTGCATTCCACCTGAAAACCAGAACAGAAGCCTCTGTGAGCTGCCTTAATTCTGAAATACAGAGGCCTTCTCCCTGTATGGCAACTGGTCAGATGGCAACAATGATACAAAGTGCAGGATCAAATCAGAAGAAACGGCTGGCTGTGGAAAGCCTTCCCTGGTGGACTTCCCCTCAAATTAGTATGAGCACCATTTTACAAGATGCTGTGGGTGCCCACTGTCTATGAGAGGGAGGAAGCATGCCACCCCCTGCTGACTCCTCTTCTTCATATGAGAGGTAGGTAGGTAGACAGACAGAAACAGACTAGATAGGTCTGTAAAGATACATATGTAAGCTCTAACTCTATATCATCCCTTCTGACCTGCTAAAGGTTGAATGTCAATTCCATAAATCTGTAAAAAGTTCTATTCTTTCATGGACTATGGTCTATGGCATGCACCAGAAGGCTGCTGATGAGTAAGATGAAATGCCCACTCTTAGTGCTTTTAATATGCAAGAAGTCTTTTAATAACTGGAGTCCTTGGTGGTGCAAAGTGTTAGTGTCTGGAGATCTGCTTCAGAGAGATCAGCCATTGCGAACCTCAGGGAGCTGGCCTGTCTGACCCAGCTGGGGCAGCTAAGAAGTGGATCGCCAATAGCTCCAAGGCTCTGAATGACTCTCACTGGCTCTGGAGTCCTCCTGGTAGCAGTGGGACAGCCATGCGGCCATCTTGCAAAAAAATGATCAGTGACTGTAAATTTTAAAAAATAAAAACAAAACTAACAGTGCCTCAACAAGAAAAAGGTAAACAATATAATAAAAAAAGGGGAAAGGATATGGATAGACACTTCACAAGGGAAGAAATGTTCAAAATCTCTAGCTATTAGAGAGATGCAAATTAAAACAACTATGAGATATCATCTCACCCTAGTAACAATAGCAAAGTTCAACAGGGCAGCAAACAACAAATGCAGAAGAGGTCCTAGAGAGATTGGAATTCTTATTAACTGCTGGTGGGAATGTAAAATGGTACAGCCACTATGGAAGGTGGTCTGGAGATTCTTATAAAGATGGAAATAGAAATATCATTTGACCTAGCAATTCCACTGCTGGGAATATATCCTAAAGAAACCAGAGCTGCCATCCAAACAGATATATCCACCTCCCTGTTTATTTCTATGTTATTCACAATAGCAAAGAGATAGAAGCAACCCAAGTGTGCATCAACAAATGAATGACGGAAAAACTATGGAATGGACACCTACACAATGAAATATGATGCAACCTTGAAAAACAATGAAACAATAAAACAGTACACAACATGGGGAAGCCTTGAGGACATTACATTGAGTGAAATATCTCAGTCACAAAAGGACAAATTCTGCATAACAGCACAGTTATAAAATAGGACAGATGGGGTTGGAGAAAGCATAGGAAAGAGTGGGCAGATAATGAACACTGCATTGGAACAAATGATAAGCACTGTTTAAAAGGAATATATGATTATGCATTATATGCATGAGAACAATCTGGAACAAGAGGTGCATTGCGGGATGGGCTAGGAGAGGAGGAGGGAAGAAGGGAGAAAATGTGCGACAATGAATAAACAAAATAAAAAACCAAATGAATAAACAAACAAAACCCTTTGCTACTTACACACAAGAGTGCAAGTGTAAATGAACCCCAGACAAAAACAGAAGAAAAAAAAGGCAAAAGTAAATACCTAGCTCAGTCTGTTTTCTCTCAGGGAAAAAACATCTTACTTGGGAAGTTGTAAATAAGGAAAACATACACCCTCCAGGTGAAAATATACATTTTAAAAACATTTCAGATTTCACACACAGACACAAAACAGACAATGCCACACATCTATCACAGACACCAGAGCAGCAACTCACCTCACTGAGGTAAATAAAGAAAGAGCAGGTGGACCCGTCCACTCCATACTCTGCGTAGCAGGGATCTGAGCGCCACATATCTTTCATCCACTGAAAAGACAAAAAACAACAAGGAAGTTGCTCAGCAGCCCTCTCTGGGGCCCTCAAGTCTCTGCTGAAAGGGGAGATGGAAGGGGGCCAGGGGTAGGGGAGTGGCCCACAGAGTAGCCTCAATTAACAGAATGAAGATAATGAACTCATTAACACCACCACTACTCATTCCTGAATGATCTACAGGTAGACCATGGGACAAGCCAGGCCTTTATAGGGGGTGGACATTGACAGAGGCCAGGGAACAGTTCAGACAACGAAGTCCAGGACTTGGTCAAAATCAAGAGTCTGTGGGCAGAACAGTTCAGAGCTCAGAAGTTGAACTGACAGAATGGCAGTTTGGGCCCCCACCGGAGGGTCTCTGGAAGGCTTGGCAATTTCCTTCCAAAAAGCCAGTCTTGAAACCTCTATGAGCAGTTTTACTCTGACACACATGGGTTACCATGGGCAGAACTCACTCAACAACAATTGGTTTGGATTTCTGTTTTGGTTTTTGCTAATGGGATCCTTGCATCCAAGAATCCCCTTACTCATAGAAATACGAGCTCCCCTTCCCTGTGTACAGCACCTGGGAAGAGGGTGTGGGATGCTGAATAAGCATGCCCCCATAGGCATCCCAACCAGACCATGGGGAGCCTGCTAGGGCTTGTACTAACCATCCTGACTGCAATCCTGAACTGAAACTTCTCTCTGAAAACCACCCTTACAGGGAGAGGACCCCAGAGGGCAGACCATACAAACAGGATTTCAAAGGGAGAGGAGAAAGCTTTTTAAGGGTAAATGAGTGGCTAAGCCTTCTGGGTTCTCAACCCCAAATGCAAATGTGACATTTAAACCACAATCTGGAGGCCTCAGTCCAAGGGTCTGGGGCCTGGGGAGAGGACAGCTAGGACACTAAAGAACTGCAGTCCTTTGTCATCGTTTCTGGATGATCACCCTCCGGAGGAGGTTGGGGTGTTTGAGAGGAGGGTGGCTTCAATGGCACAGTGGGTGCCTGGAAAGCCCTGGCTCTGTCAGTGGACCGGACAGAGGTGCCCTCTGGGGCAGGAGGCAGGAAAAGAGCTGGCAGGGTTGCAGCTGGCAGGGCCGGGACTCCACAAATAGCCCTCTAGCCCATCTGTGTGTCTGTGAAGGGTGGTGAGTACAGAGTAGGGGTGAGTGTGCAGGCTGAAGATGGAAAGGAGCTGGCATTACATCTGCTTACCTTAATTTTCCCCTCGCAGTGGGGGTAGCCATCCATAGGAGGCAATACACATTTTTCTTGAGCTCCATTAATGATATCTGTAAAAGATTAAAAAAAAACAAGACACCATGAAGCTTCTAAAACACAAGCCTAGCAGCCTTCAAAGCAGAGAAGGATCAAGAAAAGCCAGGAGGAGACTTCTATAGTGGTAGACAGTCACATTCATACTCAAGGAACCCCACCAACTCCAAACACACCAGCTGGTCTTCAGTTGGGGCCTGGTACAAGGACAGCCCACCTCCATGTCTGGCCCAGATTCAAAGAATGAACTAGACCAACAGAGCCCTGGTGCTAAAATTGCAATTGAGAAATTAAAGATTCACTTAGGGACCAGGGAGGTTAACCAAGAGATTAGAAGGGTCCACTAGCCACTCTTGAAGACATGCTGTTGTTGTTGTTGTGTGCCATTGAATCACTTGTGACTCATAGTGATCCTATGTACAAAAGCTCTGATCTCTGCCCTGTCCTGAGCCAATCTCACTGATTCTGACACACCAACCCCCATTGCCCTAGTTACTGTATTAATCCATCTCATCTGGGGTCTTCTTCTCCTGCTCTGTCCCTCTACCCTTCAGAGCATGATGTCCTTCTCAAAGGACTGGTCCCTCCTGGCCACATCCCTAAATTATGTGAGACAGAGCTTAAAAATCTTACCTTCCAAGGAGAAACTTGGTTTCATTTGCTCTAAGAGAGACTTACGGTTCTTCAACAACAATAACAAAAATCTCAAAGGTCTGACTGATTTAAATATTTTCTCATAATAAATTCCATCTATATTAGCTAGAATCTAAGTGATTTTAATTCCTTGTAGGTGAAGGGGAAAATGGAAAAGTTTGTCTTCAAGAAGCTTATGGTGTAATGGTAGGCAACAGACAATAAACAACTGAATTGCTTAATAAACTTAGTCAGTAGGGGGTCAGGGAGTCTTTCTGGATTCAGCTAAAATGTGAAGATGAAGCAGACCTGATCCAGTCAAAAGGACTTGGCAAGGATGGCCCAAGAGAACTAAGCCATTCCGAATGCAGTACTTCACGTAGGCTGGAATGAAGAAGTAGAAAGTATTAGGAGGCTGCAGATCCCAAACAGGAACAATCTTAGCAGTTTTGCGCTTCATCTACAGGGCCTGGTGGAGCCCTGAAAGTTTTTAAGAAGTAAAATCAATGACTTATTCATTGCAAATACATTTTATAAGAGACACAAACGCAGGTTATACACATGGACTTCACCTGATGGTATGCATAGGAATC